TGTGCTAGACCAAAAGGCAAAGGGTGTTGGCGACCCCTTGCTGTACACTGCCGAGGAGATGGAAAGTGCATTAGAAGCCCCTCGACCCGAGCCATCTTTCACTAGCCCTGGTTGGAGGAGGAAACTGAGCTGGGGAACTTATCTGACTGCACAAAACTCTGACGCGGACGTCGCAAAGATGGCAGCCGCCATTCGGAAGGGCGCGAGAACGCCGAATATGCCTGGCTCGCCCATGGTACACCCCAGTCAAGGTATGTTATCAATGCCCATGTTCTCGAAATCTCACTAACAGTTCATAGCAATCGGATGGTCACTTACTGGTACCATGAACTCTCCATCAACCAACGTCGCTGTCATGTACACTTCCGAGAATGGCGAAAACCGGAGTACGAGGCCGCCACCTTCCAAAACACTCCCAGCAAGTACTCAGCCTTCTATCGCATCATTGATATCCGATCCTCCCATCAAATTCGAGCCACGCCAATCTATAGCATCACCATCGGGTTTCTCGCAATTCAGCTCGGCATCCATGCCTCCGCCGCCCTCAAACCCAACCTTCAACCACATGCCCACACCAGATCCAGTATTGGTTTCAGATGCTGACCTGCTTCTGAATCTGCATTCTCCGTTCTCAGGCGGCTCGCCAACAGCCATAAGAACGCCATTACAAAATCCGACTTCATATACCCGCTCATCTGCCCAACACAATCAGCTACAACCTACACCTCAAACCGAGTTTTCACCTACATTCGGAAATTTCAACACACCTTCAGACAACACATTCGGCGACATGGTCATCGACACACAGGACGTCGACATGTCACTACTAGGCGCCGACATGATGCCTTGGGACTTGGAGTACCTACCCCATGATATGCTTTACTTTGGCGACGGCACCTTCGGAAACAATGGCTTTGGAGCAGATGGCGCGCCCGGAGATCACAACACCGGTTGATACCCTCGGCGCTGTCACATATGTATACTAGACTACTGCGTGTGGAGTTTGCTTTTCCCAAGGTGGGGTTTTGGTTGTCTCATCATGGAGTGGATTGGATGGCGTATGATACCATTTTGCCACTTTATATACTATATGAGTTGAGATGAAAGTCAATTACCTTGTCAATATGCTATGTCTTGGCTGTGCTGCTGTTGGTTACTCACCTTACCCTGGCAACTACTTGAGGTTCGCAGACGTCTTTCTTTACGGTGATATATGAGGCTGGAGGTATTCGCTGTGTTTCCCGAGTGCACGCGCATCTGGCTGAGGTATCAAAGCACATCACGGTACCTCAACAAGGTCATGTTCTGAGACTGGGGTATACTTGTATAACCCTACGGTCACGTGAAAAACTTGATATGCAAGGGGGATGTTGACTGGACATAGTGCTCTAGTGTGCTTTGGGACGGTAATTGGAGACATGCAGAGGTATTCTTGATTGACGGCAGTGCTCTGGTGCGCTTTCAGATGGCTCAATCAGTAGCGATAGTGTATACATACATACTAAAACATCTAGATACACGGCATGTCGAGGGGGATACAAACGTGTTACACCTTGAAGATAGCTCGCTAATATGGAGGCCGGGAGGTATTCAGTGCCCATGGTATTTACAGAGTGATAGCCGCGAAGGTACTGAATGGCACAGGATACCGTAAAGACGTCGAGAATGAGAAGAGTTTTATCATTGAATGCCTCTTCGCTATGGCATCTACGTACAGGTATGGCTATGAAAACAGTTGAGGTACCCCACGCTCCACCCTCATCTCTCGAAGTAATCGTACACGGAACCCGTTTTGGTCGGCACAAAGTGTTCGAAAGAACACGAGATGACATCGCCGAACGTCTCCATGTCGCGCTTCAGCGCCTTGTCACTTATCGTCTCATGCAACTCGGGGTTGCTCCGGACGCGAAGGTGGCAAGTCTCCGCGCCCATGTCATCCTTGTGTTCCAGACTCCTCAAAGCAACGGTGAAGAAGTCAATGCTCAGACCACATTCGGAGAGGTGCTTGATGACTTGGCGCGTGATGCTCTCGAGCGGCGAGACATCGTAATACAAATATCGTTCATCACCCCTGGCGACGAGTTGGAGGTACTTGAGGTGGGGGTAGGCTCGAAGAACATTCGCGAGGCCCTTCAGTTGTGCCTTCATGTGGGCGTCGAGGTTGTTATCTATCACGGCAATCTCGATGAGAGGGCATGCGATGGCGAGGTCCGTGAGGTAAGGGCAAACTATTCCGATGTATGACAGATCTTCGTGGCTCATCTCAGAGCGGAGGCTTTGCGTCAGCGCCAAGCTACGAATGGTATAGTTGACGGGACCGAAAAGGCGAGCCAGCGGAAACCGACTATACTCTGTGACCCAGACGGAAGACTGGCCTTGAGGAGGTTGTACGTTGCTCACTGCCTCCACTTCGTCCTGACGGGCGTTTGGCGCAGACTTGTCGTCGGCAAAGTCATCGTTGGGATCGTCCAAATAGTCGTTGAGGATGCCAGGTAGGCCTGCATACGGACTTGAGACCTTGACGACTGGTGGAGTTGTATACCCGAGTGACAGACTACGCAAGTTGCTGGAAGAGCGAACAAGCTGTACAATGGCTTCTTCCTCGTCGGTAGTGATGTGCTGGTCGTGAACAGAGAAGAGGAAGGTCTCCACGTCGGCGGATTGCTTGCGTAGACCGTGCAAGAACTCGGCGTTGCCCATACATCCGTTGATCTTAAGAAGCTTAAGGGAACTGAATGAGAACGTCGCGGGTACATCATCTGGCTCCGAAGAGAGCAATCCTTTGCCGTATGTGGTGCAGTCGATGTAGCTTAAACGTAGCTCCTGTAAGGCAATAGTCCTTGACCAACCCATACCGGCAACAATGGGTCCAAGCGGCAGTGCGGGACGAGGCGCAATAGGAGGTTCAGCAAAGATACTAAAGCCACGTACTTTATATCCGTTGTTTTCCGCGACTAAGGAGCGCCAGAGGCCGACAGGGGCATTCCAGTGACTCAGCACATCCAGCCTTTCCGAGTGATGGCCTGGAGCGTTGATAGGCGCAATCCGCTTCCTCTTCAGAGCGACATGCATGTTGAACGGGCCTGTTTGCTGGAGTATATGTGCCTCGTGGTACTTGTCATCGAGTGCTAAACCGTCGGGGGTAGCGATCTTGTTGTGGTAGTTGATGTGCTCCAGCTGTTTCGCGGTCTTGGGCTTCAGTAGAGTCCAGGGGCTCGTTAGGTTTTCGGTTGCTGCTGCGTTATCGTGCATCGTCGAGATGTTGGTGATGTCGCCGTCGTACCATGTTGGAACAACGATGACTTCTAGCGAGGGAGAACTGGAACTGAAGAATTGCTTGAGAGCTGGCAGGGACTCCAAGCCGATAGTGGACTCCATTGTGAACGATGCGATGCGTAGATTAGCATCGGTTCGTGGAAACTTGTGGAGTATTGGCTCAAGCCCAACCTTCGATGTAGTCGCGAAGGTGTCGAAGAGTACGCTTTTGATGAGGCTGAAGTTGTGTACGGTAGAGCCTTCGATGAGGTATTTCAACTGGGGTAGACTCTCGGGGTCAAGGCAGAATTCCATCTCGTGGTAGAGAGCACTGAGGAAGTAGTCCGCCATATCATGTGTACCAGCGGGGATACCATCACGCTGCTTGAGAACGGATGCGCACACGAAGCGCTCCATTAGGTCACATTTGGTGAGCTGGATAACGTTAGCTCGTGTTGTTTGAAAGAAGCGCAGTGAACTTACGTTGGCGGTAATCATGTCCTTCAGCTCTACCGGAAGACGCCAAAATCGCGCCTCGGCGAGGCGGGACAGTTGCTGAGAGTATTTTGGCTTCTTGGGGACGGGCTCAGAGGCAGTGAAATGGAATACAGGCGACTCATCAGCGACGTATTTGCGCTTGGAGTCGCGCGCTTGTTCGTCCATGTTGTGCTGTGAGTAAGGTCGAGTCGCGGAGAAAAGACCTGGCAGGATTGTATAGAAGGTAGAAATTTGGGCGAGCTTGGTGGCCTCCGTTTGCTCTTCGAGCACGTGGAGAGTCGAACGGCGGTGACTGAGCGCTGTCCTTCCTCGAAGCCTGCTGATTGGTCGACTACAGACCGCGTCTAGTTTGAGACTTGCCCTTGGGATATGGCTCACTGCGATCGCTGTAGGAAACAACATACAGGCAGGGCCTCTACACAAAATGATCTGCTAGCGACAACTGACAGCATTCAAGTCACATCCGAGCTACCTTTCTAGGTGCATTTCCATCATCGTCTTCATCTTCACCTTCACCTTCACCTACGATTACATCATCTACGAGCCACGTGATGTGGTCCGTGTAGGCCTAGTGCCTTGGCAGCAGAACCAATATCTACTGCCTCGCTCTGGCCACAGTTCCTTTTCTCTTCTACAACCACTTCTCTTCTTTTGTTCTTATAGCAAACGCTGTAGTCTGCGCTTCCGTGGAATGCTAGGCATACAGATAGCGGAACCCCCGTTAGTCAGAGATCACCTAGGGCAACATGTCCTCGAATCTGTCAGACAACAGCGTTTGCACCTCAGCGGTCAATCAGAATAAGATCTCCTTATAAGCTTGTGTTCGTACCAGCTTCTTCTTCCATCTTTATCGCCTCGGCCGCCTTCAAGATCTTGTACATGCCTACGGGCTCAATCCTACATGGTATTCGACAACTGGGCTCCGTTGGGCGAACGCGACCTCTCGCATCCCAGACATTACCCTAACTCAGAGCCTTGCTTGTGCAATTTGCCGCGAGTTAGTACCTCCACCGCTTGACCCTTGGAGTCTATATCAACACAAACTAGCATGTGTTCGATGAATCGATCGGGGCTGGTCTACGCGTCGGGAATGGCGGCGTAATGAATTGACGATGATGAGAATAGTCTGAGTCTTGAAGCTACGTTTCCGGGAACAGTGGGCAACTTTTTTCGTTGGGTCCTGCGGCTTGCTGCTGGCTTGAAGAAGAATGAAATATCCGGCGCGACTGACAGTTGAATAGACACGGCTAATACTGGCTAATATGATCAAAGCTGGGCGCGCTGTGCGATGCTTCCACGTTTTCGTTGTTCATCACAGGGATTGTGTCGACGAAAGACCATATCGAAAGGTCGTCCTCTGCGTGTGTCTGCGCAACCTGTATCGCGGTGCCCGCTGTCGCTTCAAACAAGTGTGAATAGTTACTGAGATCGACGTATTGATTCGGATCGAAATACTCATGAGGCAGCTCATTGTGGACGCTGGTGGCTGGTAAAGCAGCTAGACTGATGGTCTCGTATCCAGAATCCGAAGTGTCGGATACTGGCTCGGCTGCTTCGGCGAGTGCTACGCCTTCATAAGACGTCTCATGAAGTTGTGTTGGAAGTGGTGCAGCTGTTGATGATGTATGCTGATCTACCGGCTCGATAATGCTGGACATGGTAGGTAGTTGGGTATTATCCGGAGGCTCAATCACGTCGCGAAACGCCTGAGCATTTGACCTCGAACTGGTTGCGGCGATGGTGTCGCCTGGACCAGCCACCGTGCAAAACATCGTCTCGAGCTGCGACTGACATTGCCTAACGATATCCACTAGTCGTTCCTTTAACCTATCCTCGAGTGGTTGCGCTTCATGTTCTACTATGCTCTCTAGCGTCCGGCGAACAAGACGTGGCAGTTCGAGGCGTGAGAACTCCTGGAAACGGGAGTCGCTAGATGGCCCGGTCACGCTCGCTGTATCACGTTGATATTCGATGTCTTCGTATGTGAGCATTTGTGCATGTATGGTGCAGAGAGCTGCGACTTACAAGGACTGGGCATGTCTGCATCGTGATCGTCTGGGAATAAGATGCGGTACACAGCTTTCCATTTCTCTACTTCGCCGTGATGCACCTGGCTGCCCTTCTTACTTTTCATCTTTTTCTCTTGTTCTTTGTCAAAACCCTCCAGTGGTATCAGTTCTCGTAATTCGCAACCACCCGGATCGCGTTGATGTTCTCGAAGTGCAACGTCGTCCGCGAAGGTTGTACAGCAGCGATGACATTGAGGTGGTAGTAGGTGGCGACGGTACAAATGCTCCCTAAGAGTGTTAGGCACGAAAACTTTATGACAACGCGTTGGGGTACTTACTTTAATCTCGCGACTGTAATGAAGCCAGGATCTCTACAGGACGTGTAGGTTTGGTGTCTACCCGGGTTGCGCTTATAGTAAGGGCATGCAAATCGTAGTTGAGAAGCAGGTTGTTCGCCCTTTGACATGAAGTCAGGTCTGCGTCGTTTGTTTGAGTCATCGCCGTCCTCTGGGGGAGTAAAGCTACCTCCACTCAAACTTCGTTTTCGGGATACAAACGAAGGGCCTGAGTAGGTGAATGCGCCGGTAGAGCTTCCTGATGCACGACCGCCAGTGCCTGGATTGCCTTTGCTAGTGTGGCTTCGTAGACTGGTCCTGAAGACTTGCTGAAAATCGCGCATGATGGCATCCACTAGTAGCCGCTTCGTGGGCGTTAGTCGATGCGGGGCCTCCAAAGCAGCCGGAGAGCTCTCTCGAGATGCCATTTCTTCTGCAGAGTCAGTCTCTTGCTCGGATGGTGTAGCTGCGCTAGATGAAACCAATGACAGGCGACTCGACGGCGCAGTCAATTCTGTGATATCTTCGCATCCTGCGTGACTGTGTTCAGACGAGTCTTGAGAACTGACTTCTACTCTTTGCATCGGTGGATGTCCTTCGTCGGGCAGAGGTACTGGAGCTCTTCGATCGGTCGTCGCGTCACTCGATGTACCGCAAACTATGTCCATAAACGATAGTCGTGGCCGGATGCCAACTTCCGCCATCCTTATGGCTTGGAGGCTAACGCATTTAGGTACGTGTTCGTACATAGTCCTTGCGGTAGCAAACACCCCACAGAGAGGACATTGTGCTTTGGGACCAATTATGTACCGTCTGGTGACTCCGACAGCAACCTTGTAGACGGGATGTATTATCGGCTCCTCGATCTCTACTTCTGGCTCGTCGGCATTGTGGCTCTGCATTAGATGTTCCAGGAATTCAGATACCAAATTAGCTCCCTCAAATGTCGTAGCATGGTCGCCTGATGCATCGCAAAAATCGCAAACTAGTATTGCTTTGCCTTTCCATTCTAGTGACTCGAGAGACCTGGTAGACCTCGTGAAGGAATTGCCACTGCTCAGTGTGCTATTACTCATGAGACCGGGGTAGCGACTTCGAGATTGTCTGGGGTCTTCAGAAAGATGCGGAGACGTGTGTGAGGACCAGTCGAGAAGGGGATTTCGATGGCTTCTTGCCGTTGTCCTCGCTTTTGGACTGCACGCTACATTTGAAGAGAACTCGTTGTCATCCATTGACACCGGATCAATCGAAAGCTGCTTAGGCAAAACGGGGTTTCCCGGCCAAAAAGACAGGTCGTCTGCTGGTGGCAAAATCGGGGTACCTGATTTCGAGTGTTAACAAGAGCGCCCCATACTGGATAACGTATACATACTTTTATAGCTGGCGCCTATGGAGTCCGCTTCATTGCTTGGGGAGTGGTGACGTTCCATTTCCGATGCAGGTTGAAAGCAATTCGTAATGTGAGTAGCGATTCAACGCGCGCAGAATGCAGACATAGAAGACGAAAAGACTCCAAACGCGCGAGGAGACTCTGGAGTGATGCCTGGTCATCATTTCATACGTTTGAGTGCGCAGCACCGCAACGCGCTGCGGCGTATCGCAACTGCGCATAACCATTTGATTGGTGCATGCCGCGCGACCGGTCAGCTTGTCCAGAGGGCGCAGCCTTAATCGGACGCCACAAGCCGTCTCCTTTGCTTCACAATACAGTGCTGTCGTTTTTGTCCTGGGATGCGTCGCGCCGAGTAGTTGCCATCCGAGTCGGGTTCAAAAGGATTGAGGTATAGAGCCTTGGAAAGGTGCCCTGATGGCAGTGGGGTAGGCAGGCAAAGCCGGCGTTCAGGGGCGTCGCATGTGACGTCACACGCAAACTTACCATTGTCATCAGCAAAACAATGTCGCTGAAATCCATGGCTACACGCTCATAGCGCAACTAAGAATGACGCCGCCTGGAAACCAATGTTAAAGATTTAACTTGCCACACGGCTGCCTTGGATCCAAATTCCTTTCGTTCTTGCGCATACCTGTTCCGATGCATGCGACGCGTTCCGATTCCGACGCGTCCTTTTCGCGTAATGCAGAAGCTCTTGACGGTATGCATCATTGACCAGCGCGGCCCACCATACCGACACTATCAGGAACAACACAATCTTGGCAGTGTGCTCAACAGGGACATCAAGTGTTCTAAATATTAGAGCTGCTCGACGTCGTTCCCTAGTTTGCGGGACCCGAAGTACTAGTCTCTGCATAGATTGTGTCGCGAACCTAGCTATTACATAACTACTAAGCATAGCACATGCTAAGTATATAGAGCTTAACTCTTTTTAGTTTAGCTTATTAAACTTATTATACTATTTATATTAAATCTACTTATTTATAATAGTTAGTAGCTACTCTTAGGTTTATAAATCTTAGTCTTATACTCTCTATTTTTAGCGTTATAATCTTTTTTACGCACTCTCTACTTATTTTTACTAGTATACCTACTATATTACTAGGTTACTATAAAAGATAAGTATTCTTACTAAAGTACTCTATAAAAGTTAAAGTAATTTATATATATACTAGCTACTTAGCAGCCTATATTTTATAATATAGTAGTTTTATACTAATAGCTTCTTTTTATAAATACTCTAACGCCTAAATAGCTATAATAATAGTTTTTTCTAGTTAAATAAATATAAGTATAACACGCTTACTAGATTTTACTTACCTCTAGTAATAGTTAGTAGTGTTTACTTTCTTTTATTAAGCTCTTTAAAAAAGACTCTTTTTTTTCTAATATATCTAATTAAGATTTTTACTTTTATTACTAGTTTATAAGCTTATAGTAACTAACTAGTATAGTTAGTAAAACTACTCTACCTCTTCTTTTAATTTATAAATTTTATTTACTAGCACTATACCTTCTATAGTTTTAATAAATAACTACTAGATTTATAAAAGCTACTTCTAATTTAATAATACTCTCTAAATACTTCTTTTTTTCTTATATACTTAGTATATATATATTATATATATACTACTTAGATTTCTACTAGCTAGCTAATAGGTATAAGAATACTTATATTTTTCTTTTTTTTCTTTTTTTCTCTTTTTTTATACACTACTACACCTCTATTATAGACTTTACTACTATAGTAGTATTTCTTACTATACTTTTATTACTATTATATTTTTTCTAAAAACTACTTTATATTAGTACTAAGGTATATATAAAGTACACTTACTACTTTAGTTCTTTTACTACTACTATTAGTCTAGCTCTAGCTATAACTAACTAGCTTTATTCTTTCTATAATACTTAACTCTCTATTTATTACTATAATTAATATAGTACGCGCTTATAATCTTATAGTATATTTAAATAGCGTCTTTAAGTACTAAGAGCTTATTTTTTATAGTAAGCTTAAAGTTACTTAAACTATTCTTAAACTATATAAAACTTCTATACCTTTTAAGAGTTATAGTTAGACTAGTATAACTCTTTTTATTTATAGTATCTAGTCTCTTTTTTTTCTAAGACGTACTTCTTTTAAAAATAATCTAGAGTAAAGCTACTCTTAGCACTAGATACTAGCTATTAAAAGACTTAGAGCTACTAGATAAGTTATTAATAAGAAGATTACTAACTTTAGAGCTCTAACTAGTAGTTTTTATATATCTACTACTTTTACTATCTAGAAAATACTCTAATAGAATTCTTCTACGCTATAAGCTATAGAACTTATACTTTTACTAGTCTTTTCTCTCTAACTAGTTACCTCTACTATTAAACTAAAAGTTTTTTTACTATCTATTATCTAGCTATCTATCTTACCTCTACTATAGCTTTTATTACTAGAGTTACTTATAGTTTATAGATTATCTTATAACTTATAGTATTTACGCGTATCTATACTTAACTCTTTTATTAAAGCTTTCTCTTTATTAATATACTATAAAGCTACTTAGAATAATAGTAAATTAGACACTTCTATTTAATAGTTATCTACCTAATAATAGATCTAAAGCTTTTTACTATCTATTACTAATATAGTATAACTTTAGCTACTATACTTTTCTTTTCTAGATATTTTACTAATAGTTAAGCACTTATTTAAGAATTAATAATAGAAGTATAACCTTAGAGTCTAGTAGAAAGATTAAGTTTAATACTTTTTAGAAAGAATAGACTATATTTTTAATATAAGTAATTATAGTAATAAACCTTAGAAGGCTTAGCCTTAGACTACTTTATATACTTCTTAGATTTTAATAGTATAGAAAGTATTTCTATAAAAGCTTACTTACACTAACTTTACTCTTTATCTTAATATTATAGTATAGCTTACTAGAAACTCTACTTATCTACTACTCTCTCTATAGTCTTATAATCTTACTCTATTAGAAAACCTTAAGAATATACTATTAAGACTATCTATTACTTAAGACTTTCTCTAAAGTACTTACTAGAATCTTTCTTTATATATCTTTAACTAGCTCTTTTCTTTATATAATTAAAGTAACTTTATAGAATATTTTTTATATTATATACTATAGAATATCTATTTTAAAACTCTATAATATTATACTATATAGCTAAGATCTAACTAGATACTTTACACTATAGCTTTTTTATAAGCTTCTATACCTATTTCTTCTAGACCTTCTTAAAAATAAAATAGTCTAGCTTCTAAGCTCTCTAACTAGCT